AACTTGGGGACTGATAACAATTTACGGTGTTCTAACCATTTACTGGCAAAATGTCATGTGCCATTTCGCCAATTGGTGAAACTGTACAAATTCTGGGCGAAACGGCATTGACACTTCGCCAATGGCCAAAACGACACATGACATTTCGCCAGTTGGCGAAACGGCACACGACATTTCGCCAGTTGGCGAAACGACACATGACATTTCGCCATGGCGAATTGTCTTTCGGCGAATCGTCTTTTGGCGAAACGGTTTTTTACCATGGTAATTGGATCGATTCAATTGTCTTTAATTTTGAGCAGTTAATGGCATCGTAGACAAATTGATCAATCCAGAAATTATTAATTGCACCAGACTGCTTACCATCGCTTAATATTAAGTAATTTATTCGATATTTATCTTCTTGTACAATACCTGGTGCATCGATTGCTGATCCAAATAAGAATTTTTCCATAGCAGATCCCGCTTCAGCTCCAAGACAGTGGGTTTTGGGAGTTTGAAATTTTACGTTTGTTTTTCTCTCATGTCTCAAAAATTCTCGCCCAAATTGAAATATGACGGCATGAGAAATTTCGTGCAATAATTTGACAAATAAGAAAAAAATTTCCATCGGACGTGGTTCATTGTCACATCCGGCCATTAATGACCGATCAAATTTGATTGTATCGCTTAGTCCTCTACTACTTTTGCAATCACCGGCAAATTCACTGTATTCATCAGGTAATATGGCAATGTCGAAAATTAATTTATTACATATGCGAATGACAAAACTTCTTGTTGTTGATACCACTTGTTTTGCTTTATCGACATTAAATAAATTCTCTCTTACCAAATTTTTGGGGTATTTGTAAACTACGCCATCACCCACCAACACCCCCAAACTACCCGAGACCATTCTAGACCGATAGAGCGCGTCAGATAACCCTACACCAACATCCACCAACACCCACTTGGACCTACACCTGAGGTACCCTGAACGAAATACTTCCACCAACACCCACCAACAGCCACCAACACCCAGATGGACGC